ACCAGGCTACCGCAGTGCCGGGCAGGGACCACTTTAGACAAACGCCTTAAGAGATGCTCAGCGTCACTGTAACTCCCACCGCACTATTATTGCTTTTCCTTTCCGACTGAGGCAAGGTCTCACCTACGTGCACTCCAGGCTGGCCTCAAGTTCACTATAAGCAGAGGATGGCCTCAACTCTCGGTCCCCCTGCCTCCATCTAAGAGCTGGGATTACTTCCTAACCCGTCTCTGCGGCAGTAATGAAGGCTCATAATGACTAATCCTCATTCAAAGAGTCTAGTTCCACAGCTCAGCTACCAATTTGGAAAAATGTCTAATTATTTTACGTAGGTTAGACTGTTTGCCGGTGGCTCTCTAATTTATATATGTATGCAATACATATGCGATTTTAATGATTTGTGTATGTATATATATTAATATATATGATTTTATTTTAGAACGTGTTTTATGAAGACCAGACAGTTTTGATTTTTCAGAGTCCACCGCTCTGTGCTGGGACTACAGATAGGTGCCGCCACACTCTGCTTGATATTTACATATTCTAAGAGGTCAGAAACGCGAACTATTATTACACCAAGACTTAAGGCTGAAAAAGTCAGAGAGGACTGTTTTATTGGTTTCTGCTTTTGAGATGAGGTCTCACTGTGTACTCCTATCTAGCCTGGATCCTACCATGTGCACCAAACGACCCTCTCGGCCTCCCAAGTGCTGGGATTCAAGATTGTGTACCATGACTCCTGGCTAAGGATTGATTTTTATATCTAAAAAAAAAACTACTTTATGTATGAATGTTTTGCATGTGTGTCTATCTGTGCACCACATGCCTGGTGACACAGGGGCCGTAGAGGCATCAGATCCCTTACAGCTAGTTACACGCAGTTATGAGCTGCCTGATGTGGGAGGGAGGTAGCACTGAACGGAACTCAAGTCTTCTGGAAGAGCAGGAAGAACTTTAAGTTCTTCCTTAAAGTTCTTCCCCAGGAGGGCTGCTGGGTTTTCTTCTCCCCCCCCCCTCCCCAAGATAGGGTCTTGCTGTGTAGCCCAGGCTGGCTTTGAACTCACAGACCCACCTGCTACTGTCTCCAAAGTGTTGAGATTAAAGTGTATTGAGCATTACTAGCTCAGGAGTGCATTCTTATTTATTTATTTACTTTTCTTATTTTACATATTGATCCCAGTTCCGTCTCCCTCTCTCCCTCCCATGCTCCCCAACCTCCCTCCCATCCCACCCCCCCTCTTCCACAGGGAAGGGAGGGTAGTGCCTTCCAGGAGGGGATCAACAAATCTGTCAAATCACATAGAGCAGGGAATAGTTGTTTTGATTTGCATTTTCCTCGATAGCTAAGGATGTTGAGCACTTTCTTAAGTGTCTTTCAGCCTTTTTGATTTCCTCTATTGAGAATTCTCTCTTCAGTTCTATACCTCATTTTTAAATAGCGTTATTTGGTATTTTGGTGACTAGTTTCTTGAGTTCTTTGTATATTTTGGAGATCAGCCCTCTGTCTGATGTGGGGTTGGTGAAGATCTTTTCCCAGTCTGTGGGCTGCCTTTGGTCTTGTCAACTGTGTCCTTTGCGTTCAGGAAGCGGTCTCCTGTACGAATTTGTTCAAGGGTACCTCCCACTTTCTCTTCTAAGCGGTTCAGTGTGGCTGGATTGATGTTGAGGTCTTTGATCCATTTGGACTTGAGTTTTGTGCATGGCGACAGACATGGGTCTATCTGCAGTCTTCTACACACCCTCATCCAATTGTGCCAGCCCCATTTGTTGAAGATGCTTTTCAGGTGTGCATTCTTAAACTATCAATTTACTTTCTGCATCTGGCCTTAAGCCTCTTTGAGTGAGAGGCATGGCACCTAGACAGCCACGCCATTTCTCAGAGAGGCTGTCCAGGTTACTCTGGTTCTTCACAGGCCCTCACAGCACAGATGCGCCTCTTCAGAAGCGCTCACTGCATGGGCGCCCATCAGATGACACCTGCCTCTGTCCTCTCCTGGGCACCTTACATATGGCTGACACTTGGAGATGTCTGATGACAGACAAGGAGCCAGTGTTCCTACTCTAGTCCACGGCTCATTTCTCCTACAGTGGCTCCTGGAAATAGAAGTGCAGGTTCAGTCGCTGGGCCCTTCAAAGTTGGATGAATGAAAATGCTGAGTTCCCTTTCCAAAGCCTGAAGCAGCAACCCAAACCAGGATCAAGCAGCAGTGTCTCAACAAGGCTGCCAAGGCACGTCAAACGGACAGGGATGCTGCTGGGGCAACCACGAGTCATGTACAAAAAAACAAAACAAAAAATTAGATGGGCCCTATCCTTAGATGCAAAAACTCACTCAGCATGGACCGCAGCTCAGTCGGTACCATGACATGAGTTATGGGTTCATGTCCCACATTGGGCGCTATTTGTAGATGGAATTTTCACCTGGTCCCACAGACATTTAGCCCCACATAAACACACAGAGGTTTATATTAATTATAACCTGTTTGGCCAATGGCTCAGGCTTCTTACTGGCTAGCTGTCTCTTAATTACTAACCCACAACTATTAATCTATGTATTTCTATATGGCCTTATCTTACCAGAGAATGCCTGGCATCCTAGCTTCCTGGTAGCTACGTGGCAACTCTCTTGCAGCCCCTCTCTGCATCCTCTTTCCAGAATTCTTGTCTAGTAGCCCTGGCTATATTTCCTTCCTGGCTACTGACCAATCAGTGTTTTATTCATCCACCAATTAGAGAAACATATTAACAGCATACAGAAGGGCATCCCCCATCAAGACACAGGACTCAACATCTGTGAACCTAGGGTATCTGCCTTTAGATAGAACCACAAAAGCGCAAACAACAAAAATAAACAAGTGGGTTTTGTCCAAACGGAGACTTGTTTGCTCCAATAGACACTACCAAAACCCAAATGTCAGGGCTCAGGAGGCTTAAGGCAAAGGGTTCCTCTGCTACACAGACTTCAGGGTCATCCTGAGCCCCATGAGAACCTGTTCCGAAAAGTGGGGGTGGGTAAAGGAGCTGAGAGATGGCTTCGCAGCTAAGCACACTTGCTTCTCTGGGCCCCAGCACCATGTCAGGTGGCTTCCAACCACCTCTAAGCCCAGTTCCAGACTCTTACACCCTCTGTGGCCTCCACAGGTACCTGTGCTAATGTACACCCCCACACATATCATTAAAGATACTTATTTTAAAAAAGGCAACAGAATGAAAGGCATACCTGTAAGTCATGCATTTCTTTGATAAGAAACACATACCCCAAATACCAAGAGGACTCTTATAAGTCATTAAGAGGCTAGATAATTCTATTGAAAAGGGGGCATAGGGTGTGAATAGACGCTTTCCCAAATCAGATAGTCATATGGTTATGCACCACAGAAGGGACTTGGCATCTTCAGCCCTCTAAGGCACGCTGTCTCAAGGACTCTATGTCCACGAGGCTGGTAACTATGAAAATGGCAGATTCCCATGAATGGATACACAAAGTGTGTCACAGCCACAAAAAAAGATGTTGCTTAGTCACAAAAGGAAGTGTGGATGCATGCTACTATCTGGATGAACCTCTGAACATGATGCTGAGCAACCGAAGTGAATCAGAGACTACACACGGAGAATCTATTCACACAGGATTCATCATTAATCTATACACAGAGAAAGATCTGTGGAAACCTGGGGCTGATGGCAGGAGACAACTGGGGAGGAGGGAACAGGCTTTCTCCTTGGGGTGGGAGTCAGAATGTTCTAGAATTTGGTGCTGGATATACAACCTTCTGATTACATCAAAAAACTCCTACTTGCACAATTTAAATGGATGAATTAATATGCCTATGTCATAGCTTTAGCTGTTAATTTGACGTGAACCTAGAGAAACTTGAAGAAGGACCCTCAACTGAGTAATTGTCTTCATCAGATCGGCCTGTGAGCATGTCAGTGAAGCGTTTTCTTGATTCCGGACTGATGTGGGAGGTCTGGGCTGTGTAAGGAAGCTAACTGTCCATGAGCCCCCAGCCAACCAGCAGGAAGCATTCCTCCATTGGCTTCTTCCAATGATGAGCTGTCACCATGAGCCAAGACGAGCCCTCTCCTCTCAAAGTTGTTTTTGGCCATTGGTGTTTATTGCAGCGACACAGAGCAAATATTTTCTTAACACGGGATAAAGAAACTGTTGGATGTGTTGTTGAAAACCTCATATATTTATCAGTAACAAATGCAACACTTTCTTAAATCATAAAGGATGGTAAAGATTTCTGTGTTTGCTGGGTTTGTTGGCACACGCCTTTCATCTCAGCCCTCTGGAGGCAGAGGCAGGGGGATCTCAGTGAGTTTGAGTTCCAGGACAGGCTCCAAAGCTACACAGAGAAACCCTGTCTCAAACAGACAAACAAATAAATAAAAATTCTCTCTCCCAAGACACTAACTACATCCTGGCTCACCGGTGTTTTGGGTGCCTGAAGGACTACAGAGGGTCCAGGTGTTCCTGGTAAACCCTGACCCCGGCTTCTTGCAAGGGAGTGCTTCAATTCCACATACCTGTGAGCTTTCCTCCCTCAACAAATCACACTTAGAGTTACATTTGTCTTTGCTGCCCTCCTGAGTGCGGCTGAAGCTCACAGACTATAAGCAGGCAGCCAAACCCTAAGTGTCAGAGGCTGTTCTCCCTGTCTTCTGGGCAAATTCTCAGCTCCAGGACTGGGGTTAACTCCTCATCCCTTCTTCTCAGTACTAGGAACCGCAGAGAGGGAGAGCTAAAGAAGTCCCTTGGATTATGCATTCTGTTTCTGCACACTGAGGCTCACAGGCGGCACCTGCTTCACGTAAGGCAGGGCATGACTGGCTGGTGGTTTCAGGATGGTCCCTGCCCTGGATTACCAGGACATGTGACCACACAGGAGCAGTTGGTGAAGAAAGGCTAAGACTTTCCTTAGGTGAAAACTGGTGTCTATTATAGAGTTGAGAACAGGAATCAATAGATATATACTCAGATAAGTGAACAACTGGACTAGAAAAACAAACTTAAGTCAGCTTTATTTTTAAAGTGCTTGAGAAGAAGAAGAAAAAAAAGACCACAGCAGTGTGAAGACAGCACACACACACACACACACACACCCCACTGTGGGGACGCCTCAGGGGCCAAGGAGCTGTGCACAGGATGGATGGAAGGTCAACATTTGCTAGCTTCAGCAAATCGGGATCAGACCATAGCCAAGCTGTCTAATTACTGCTTACAGGTCCTTTATAAAGGCGTTCACCTGCAGGAGAAGAAGGTGTGATGTTACACTGCACGCTTTCCACATTCCCCTCTGTGTGTGTCTCTGCCCCATGAGCATTTATGAGGTGAGGGAACAGGGTCAGAGAGCAGCCAGTGGCCGCTGGGCACCTTACTACATAACACTCGAGGGGGAGCTGGCTGGCCAGCAGGTGCTAGGAGTCAGCTGACTGATACTACCCCAGGACACTCGGAGCCCACCTGTCTCATGAGCTCCTCTTGCTTGGCGGCATTTTCAGAGAAGTCATCACTGACACTCAGCACCAGCACCGGCACACGGCGCAGAGCTTCGAAGTGGAGCCTGGAGCAGTGAGACAGCAACGTCGGGGTGATGCCATTTCCCGCCACACTAACCCGCCAGAGCCTGTCGAGCCTGTCGACTCTCGCTTAGCCCTGAAACTGCTACCAAAGTCAGCACTTCAAACACTTAAAGTGAACATACCAAGCCTGAACGAAGGCAGGCAGAAACTAAAAATGTCAATTAAAATGGACATTTTCCTAAAAAATTTCAGCCCTCCATCCTGAGCCAATTATGACAAGCATTCATCACAGGCACAATCTAGGGGAAATGAAGGAAGGAGGGAGGGAGGGAGAGAATCTACCAGATGCCCCGTGGGATGTATGGCTGCATTCGACATGACATCTCCTGGCTGACAGATGTTGGGCACTATCCTGTGTCCTTGCAGTTCTGGGCTGTGTTCAGCTTGTGCTCAGCATGGTGATGGAGGCCTCTGCCTGCTTTTAACACTCACTTGGTAGTCTTGTTAATAAACCAGTCTTCGTGCTGACCATGCAGCTGCTGAAGATAGGCCAGCTCAATGCCTTTCTCTTCTTCCCGGGCTCTCTGGTGCAGTCTTTCCAAACAAACCTAAGAGACAATCCCCCTGCGGTTACACCACAGTCTTACAGGGCCAAGCAAGCCACAAAACATCTGTATGTCCTCTGTGGGTACCACACGGCATGACAGTCTCCTGCTGCCTTGTTCTCTTACCCAGAGCACTGGCACCCGCCGTTTGGAGTAGCCACAGCTGGGTAACGGCAAGCACATTCACCCTCAGCCACACTGCGAACCTGAGACGACCCTTCTTTCTCTTCCTCCCAACCATATCAAGACCAGGGTTCTAGTCTCCCTAGTGGGCTCTGTCCTCACACCTCTCATCTGGATGTTCCAAGAGCCTTCTGCCTCCCGTCCCCTGGAGGTGAAGAAGTGTCCAGAGAAAGTACATGGAGAGAGCACAGGCCTTACAGCGTCAGTCTGGTGGGCTGCCGGCTCTCCACCCTCCACCCACCCACAGGTAGTTGTGAGGCTGCTCTTAGGAAAGAAAGGCACATTGGGATTCTGACAAAAAGTTGGGCTATGGTAGCGCACGCCTTTAATCCCAGCACTCTGGAGGCAGAGGCAGGTGGATCTCTGTGTGTTCAATGCCAGCCTGGACTACAGAGTGAGTTCCAGGGCAGGCTCCAAAGCCACAGAGAGAAACCCTGTCTCAAAACGCCTGCACCCCCCCCCCCAAAGATTCTGGAAAAAGGCATTTTCTCCTCCTTCCGGTTTGCCCCTCACCAGCCTTCAAAGGTATTTGTGTCCCCTGCTTAAAATGCTTTGCTCCATACGCTCTTTGCCAGATACAGACATAACCACAGGCTTTAAGAAGTTGTAAATTTACCATCTTCCTGCCTCAGCTTTCCAGATGCTGGGATTATGGGTATGCACCATTGTGCCTGGCCTGTGAGTGCCGTTGTAGTTAATAAGCAATTTGAAGTACCTCTTTCATACCAGACCAAGCACCCACTTTGGAGTAGACAGAAACATCTGCACAAGTCAAAGATAACACGAAATGAAACTTGCATCTCGACACTAACTCCCCTCTCCCTTCCCCTTCTGCAGAGCTCTGGTCTGAGGCGCTCTGCCTCTGAGAACTGTCATCTTCACCCAGCATGGAAGGCCATCCCTCGTACGTGCCCTCCACTCCCGCAGCTCCCTCCTTGCTCACTGCTTTGGCCAGATTAGTCCTCCTTCCTATGGGGCAGGCCAGGCTCCTTCACACCTCAAAGCCTCTGCTCCGAACCTTTGTCTTGCCGAACTGCCCTTGCTCCTCTTTCTGCCTGGCCAAGGATTTCAGTGTTCAATGCGAACTATCCTGAGAGTGGGCTAACCTACCCATATGCTCATTTCTTTTTCTGTCCCCCCCCCCTTTCTTTCTGGGGTAGTTCCAGGTCTAGATCAGGCTGACCTGGAACTCTTGTCCATCTTTTCTAATATACACTTGATTCATCTCCTCAGTTCTCCTTACTCACAACCACTATGATTATGATTTCTGCACCAGTTTGCACACACGCGCACGCGCACACCCGCGAGCTCTCTCTATCACAGGCTTCCCCATTGCCTCCTCAGAGGTTAACCACGCTGCATTCATTCACCCACCCAGCTTCAGCTTAGTAACTTTATTTCCTCCTCTGAGAGAAAAACATTGTCCGAGTTGGAGGAAATTAATATTAAATAAAGCCAGTTCTCAAATACATGCAAGGACAAAACAATTCTTGCAAAATTTATTTATAATTCTTCACAAACTGACGGCAGGCAACCACTGATGCTAGCCTCAATCTATTAAAATCAGTATTTCCCTTTTTATTATTAATTTGCTAAACCAAGCAAACTTTTCTTCCCTCTAAAGTCTAAACAAAGTCCTACTTTGAATACTTGGCATAATTCTTACTTTACTGGCATGGTTATTTTATTAGGCTTTTTTTTTTTTTTTTTTTTTGTGGTCCCCAAGACAGAGTTTCTCTGTAGCTTTGGAGCCTGTTCTGGAACTCACAATGGTCTCAAACTCAGAGTTTTTTTTTTTTTTTTTTTTTTTTTTTTTTTTGGATACAGGGTTTCCTGGTGTAACAACCCTGACTGATATTAATTATCATCATCATCATTTTGGTTTTTCGAGACAGGGTTTCTCTGTGTATCCCTGGCTGTCTCTGAACTTGCTCTGCAGATCAGGTTTGCTTCATACTCAGAGATCTGCCCATCTCTGACTCCTGAGGTGTGTGCCACTACAGCCAGCTAGGAAATTATTCTCAAAAGATCCCACAGGACAGTTTTAACCTGGCCCCACTTTGTTTCAGCCCTCACAGGGAGCACACAGAATGTGGAGGGGATGTGGCTGCTAAGAGCTCGGCTCACTATGCCACTCTAGACTCAGGCTCCTGCCCTCCCCCCCCCCCCATGCAGCTCCTGTCCCAGACAGGGATGGGGATCCTGAGGCACACAGCCAGGGAGGACAAGTGGACAGGGCCTGGAGTCCGTCTCACAGACTGAGGCTAGTATTTGCTGGGCAGTGGCTTGAACTCACGTCCTATTCATCCTCTGGCATTCCTGGGTTCCTGTATCTAACACCATCCAAACAACACTGAAATCTCAAACCAATCCCAAATACATTACCCATCTTTACTCTATGTTAAGTTGTAGCAATTCTTCAAGACTCTATGTATAGTCTCCAAAGGGACAAACCATTCCCGGTGACAGCCACCATGCTACCACCACCCTGTCATTTCACACAGGCCCTGGATGATCAGTGGCAGCCCTGCCTGCCTCTCTGCTCCTCCCAGCACTTCTGCCCCGGCCCTGAGATGAGCGTACTGTTGCCAACTCTGCCTTCTCCCAGCCTCAGCCTTCCCCCTGCTTCCTAGTGCAGCCACCTCAGGGTTCCGGTGGGAAGTCACGGGAGGAGAAAACCCCTCCTCTGACCCGACTCCTCTCCACTCAGTGAGACAAGGCTTCTCTGTTTCACCCAGGGACTACTTTCCACCTGTAAGACACAATGTGCCTCTTCTATTCCTCCTTAGCAACAGGGACCACCACTGAGAGGCTCTGCTAACCCACATTCACTCCACTTCGCTGGAGTCTCCTCAGGCCTTAGGCCTTCTGAATATCTAGTTCAGCTTTATTTGACCTAAAACTTCAGCCAGAATCTCCCAACCCCTGCTGCAGTCTGCGTCACAGTCCAGGAACTCCCCACACCATACACAGACGTCCTGATGGGGCTGGAAGATGGGCGAAGGCACTATGTAATGATGGGTTCCCTTTGTTTATGCTGTGGATGGAACATTACTTCAATTGTGTAAAGGTGTGTTACATTTATTGTTTAACTATGCAAGGATGTGTTACATCTGTTTCACCATGCCTTCCTAAGGCACCTGCCTGGTCTAAGAAAGTGGGCTGGCCAGTATCTAGGCAGAAGGCAGATAGGAGAGGCTCATGAGTGGGAATAAATAGGAGAGAACCAGAGAAGAGAGGAGAGGATGAGGGAGAAAGGTCAGGCCTGGGGCAGAAGCCAGACAGCCGCCAGCCAGCCAGGCATGGGGGAATCATGAAAGGAAGACTTGGGGTAAAGGGAAACAGGTTAACTTACATTAAAGAGCTAGCCAGATAAGCTAGGCCGAGCGTAACTAATAAGAAGTCCCAGTCATGATTTGGGAGCTGGCTGGTGGCTCCAGAAGAAAAAGCCTGGTGACTTGAGTTCCTTCCCTGGAAGCCATGGAGAGAAGTGACAGCACCGGAGTGCCCCGATTTGCACACACACTCTGAGCGCACACACTCTGAGCACACACACACTCTGAGCACACACACTCTGAGCGCACACACTCTGAGCGCACACACACACTCTGAGCGCACACACACTCGGAGCGCACACACACTCTGAGCGCACACACTCGGAGCGAACACACGAAGAGGAGGAGGAAACCTATTAGAAAAAAGAAAGGCAGCCAGGCATGGTGGGGCGTGCCTTTAATCCTAGCACCTGGGAGACACAGCAGAGGCAGGTGTGTCTCTGTAAGTATGAGATCAGCCTGGTCTACTTAGAGAATTCCAGAACAGCCACAGTAAGACTCAGTCTCAAAACAAAACAACACTGACCCAAACCAAACAACTCCCCAAACAAAATAAAACAAAAACTAAACAAAAACCTGAAGGAGGAGGAGGGGTCCCCTGTAACGTGACATGACAGGAACTCTCCCACTTGGTCTCAGCTCTGCTCAGTGTGCCCCCTGGCTCCCTTCTGTCCGTGAGCTCAGCCCCAGGCTGCAGACAGCTGGCTTGCTTTCTGCAACAATGGGCATTCTTGGCATCTGACCATACTTGTGAAGTGTCTCTCAAAAGCTGACAGCAGTATCTCTCAAAAAAAAAAAAAAAAGCTTTGCCTTGACTTGGAACCCTGCCCTCAAGGGTCTTTCAAGAGATCTACTTTATAGAGAAAGACCCCTTCAGTGGCAAGCTTTCCAGGGTCTAGCCAAAGTTACAGCCAGTCAGCAGGAGCCAAGGCCAATGCTGTCTCCAGAGGGCTCCTGTCATGACATCATCCCATGGGCCAAACGGGCTCCTCAGCTGCAGAGCCAGAGCCAAAGCACACACTTCTGCAGCCTCCTGCCTGAGGATGAGGGGGAAGCATTCCTTCCTTCTCATATCCTAGTCAGAAGAGCGAAGGGACCGTTGAAGCCTCAGATGACCTGACATGGGCAAGAGCTAGAGCAGGTGGCTGCAGGGCTGCGTGTCTGATGCGCAAACCTGGAGCTTTAAAAACAATGCCTACACACAGACAACCGGCTGCCTGAATATGCCCTACAGCAGCAGAAGGCCCTGGGACATGGGTACCGGGGGCTGGAGTACTGGTGTATGCTGGCTGAGGCCCATAGGCCAACTTCTCTACCCAGGAAACCAGAAGCTTCTAGGAGGTCATCTCTTATGTTTCATGCAGCTCTAACGTCTAAGGTTTTAGGTTCAGTTACCTGGGGAGAAGCCTGGAGATAGATGAAGCCATGTATCAAGAGCCGGTTTGCAAACTCCTGCAGGAGAAAAGAATGCCAGTCCTGATAGATGTGCCATTCGATGTCACTGAGGGATCCATTTTCAAAAAGATTCTTTGCAAAGATATACCTGGTGGGAGACGTTGAGCGGAGATCGGGCGAAGGAAGAATGTGAAGTGGGGTGAAAGGCAGGAGAGGGAGGGAAGTAGAAAGGTCAGTGCCGGGCTTGTTCAAGTTTATCCAAACCACTTAGCCACTCTATCAGCCCTTAGGAAATCTGAATGATTTTAAAAAAGCAGATTTGTGTGTGTGTGTGTGTGTGTGTGTGTGTGTGTGTGTGTGTGTGTGTGTGTGTGGGTTGGTGGAGGGCAGAACAGGGCACTGGATTCTCTGGGCTAGACTCACAGGCAGTTGTGAGCCATTTGATGCTCATAACTGCTGAGCCATCTCTCCAGCTCTGGAAACCTGAATTCTCAGTCTCCAGCTTCCATCCTGCTTAGCACTAATGACAAATGGCACCTGAACAGGCCCACGCTACAGCTCACAGATGGAGCAACCCACCACAAGGAAACAGACTCTAGAAAGGGAAATCAGCCAAGACTCCAGACAAAACCCAAGTGAATGCAGGGGAAAGCCATGCTTCCACACTGAGTTCAGAATGAGGGCTCTGAGTCTGTAGCTGCTGAGCCATCATGCTTTGTGCCCGGAAGCTGGGTGGCATCTTTCCTGTGGTGCCAGCTCTGCAGCTGACTTTGGTAACAGCAAGAGCGTCTCCCCTCCAGAGCATACAGGAGCCTAGCTTCCTCTACAGAGCTTCCAACCAGATCAAATACGGCTAACGCTGAATTATCAAACTAACTTCCCCTTTGCTTACTTCCACAACAGGAGGAGGATCTGGTAAATTGAGAAATCAGAGCTGTAGAAATCATGGCTTCAAAAGGGTCAATTCTGCTTTTAAAGCTTGACACAAAACACAATTTACACACACAACAATAAATTCCAGTTTCTAAGGCAACCTCAGCAACTGGCCACTTCTGGGGAAATGAAATTCAAAATCCTTGTGTAAAGGCTCAGAAAGTGCAAACTGCAAAGTGGTGAGTGTCACCCTTAGCAGAGAGTGGCTTTCAAAGTGACTCTGCAGGGTCTGATCTAGATGTAGCTTCTACGAGCCACATTGCCTTGGCAGGGCATGACACATATCATACTTGTGAGGTGCTCAGAAGAGTGACTACCACTTACAGCCAACAGTCTTAAGTCATTGTAAACGCTCTTCCTAGTCCACGAAGAAGCTAATTTGCAAACTCCAAAAATGAACTTGCCCAGACTAGAATGTTTTAGCTACAGTTCTTTGGAGGCAACAAGAAGGTGACTTTTGTAACTCAAGTTTTGAAAAATGCTCCCAGCTTCTCCAAGAATAGCTAGAAGACAAAAGTTGCATCTTGGAAATAAAAATAACCAAGCTTATAATAGGGACCTTTGCCTCTCCCAAAGTATAACCAATTGCTACGCCTTTACAAGGAAATGTCAAGACCCAGATAGTTTTCTCTGTAACTTTGGACCCTGTCCTGGAACTCACTCTGTAGACCAGGCTGGCCTTGAACTCACATCGATCTGACTGTTTCTGCCTCCTGAGTGCTGGGATTAAAGGCTTGTACCACCATCCGGCTCCCCAGATAGTTCTTAACAACTCATTTTAAGTGCTTGCAATCCCCATACTCAGAAGGCAGAGGCAGGAGGACACCTGTGAGTATGGCTCAGGAGAGGGGAGAGGAGACAGGCCCAGCTGCAATGGGACTGAGGAACCCACTATCTACACCATAAACACTTAGCGTTCTTTCTACCGGGCAGGCTGCTCTCAGGCCTGGAGTGAAGGAGTTTCTCCCACATATCTGGTGTGACCTCGAAGTGCAGTCGGAAGAGTCATGCCACTTACAAAGAACTACCCTTCCCGTTTTGTTTTTGTGACCCAGGGTCTCAGTATGTAGCTCTCCCTGTCTGACTTAGAACTCACTCTGTAGACCAGGCTGGCCTCAAACTCACAGAGATCAATCTGCCTCTGCCTACCAACTACTGAGTAAAAGGCGTGTGCCAACATGCCTGGCCTTGAACTGTCATTAAAAAAATTAAATCACTGCTTTATTTTATGTGTATGGTTTTTCCCCTGCATCATGTGTGTGCCTGGTGCCATCAAAGACCAGAGGGCAGTGTTGCATCCTCTGGAACCGGAGTTACTGATGGTTGTGAGTAGACATGAAGGTGATGGGGATCGAACCTGGGTCCTCTGGAAAAACAGGAAATGTTCTTAATTGCTGAGCCATCTCTCCAGCACACCAACTCCCATTTTTTTTTAATTTCAAGAGGCTTTCCAGTAAAAGCTACAACTGGCTTACTTAACTCAGAATTAAATGGGTAATCAAGCCCGGCTGTGGTGGCACATGCCTTTAAACCCAGCACTCGAGAGGCAGAGGCAGGCGGATCTATGTGAGTTCAAGACCAGCCTGGCGTACAGAGCGAGTGCCAGGACAGGCTCCAAAGCCACAGAGAAACCCTGTCTCACCCCCTTCCCAATGGGTAACCAAGTGTCTCCAGAGAAGGAGACAGCAAAGACACAGAACATTCCACCTTCAGTCATGGGCTCAAGACAAGTAAGTCACTGAAATTCAAACTTCCCACAAGGGCCACGTCAAGGCACGCTGTGAGCCCGTGGCCTGGACGAGCATGCTTTCCCAGAACAAATGGACTCGCTTCCCAAGATGGCTGCTAAAGCACTCGACAGACAGTACACTCCCTAAGTGGATGATGTCCTTTCCCATCAAGTGACATGGGTTCAAGGTGCCACTAGACATTGGCCGGTACAAACCCTGTCCATATTGGGGAGGGGGGGAGTCAGAAATGCTAAACTGGAGACAGAAGTTCATTTGTGATGTTAGCTCTGCCTCAACATCCCTTATTTTATTGTTGTTGTTATTATATTTGGCTTTTCAAGACAGGACTTCTCTGTGTAGCCCTGGCTGTCCTGGAACTCTCTGCAGACCGGGCTGTCCTCATACTCACAGGGATCCTCCTGCCTCTGCCTCTGCCTCCCGAGGGCTGGGACTAAAGACGTGCGCCACCACTGCCCAGTAACAACATCCCATCTTGAGGAATGAAAAGGATTCGTGGGTTGCTTGCATTGTTCTGTTTAAATTTTTTCTTTTTATTTATTATATGTATGTATATAAGTGTTCCACTTCTGTTTGTTTGTTTTGCCTGCATGTATGTTTGTGTACCTTGTGTGTGTTTGGTCCCTGTGAAGATCAGAAGAGGGCACTGGGTCTCTTGGAACTGGAATTATGGACAGTTGTGAGTTGCCACGTGGGTGCTGGAAATTAAACCTGGGTCTTCTGTAGGAATAACACACACTCTTAACATTTGAGCCATCTCCCGAGCCCCTGCTTGCTTTTTAATTTTTCCTTAGGAACACAAAATTTAATTCCACGTGTAATTTTGCTAAGAGGTTTGGCTTCTGAGTCATCTAAGTGGCTATTCTGTGGCTTTGGTGTGTAATCGTGGGACCCAGAAGCCAGTGGCACTATGGAAAGCCAGTACATGATGTTGGTAAAGCACAATTGGTTTTCTTGACATATATGGTAACTCATCAGTATCACAACTCTGGACAAAGGTATGTAGATTTGTATTAAAAAGAACAATAGACGGCTCCCAGGTTACGAGCACTGACTGCTCACTGGAGCACTGGAGGCTCACAGTAGCTTCAGTTCATGAGGGTCCAACACCCTCTTCTGACCCACGCAGGCATTGCACACATGTGGTGCACACACACACACACACACACACACACACACACACACACACACACACAGGCAAAACATCCAGGGGCACAAAGTAAGAATAAAATCTTTTAAAAAAATTATTTAAAAAAATACATTCTTGGTGTTGTGGAGATGGCTTATTTGCTAAGGACCTGAATTTGACCCCCAAATCCAATTTAGAAAGAAAAGTTTGTCATCCCCACGCTGTGGAGGCAGAGACAGGCAGAGCTTCCTCCTAGGGTCACTGGTCAGAAAGCCTAGCTTTCTTGGACTATTGCACAGGGTCCTGTCTCAAAAAAAGAAAAAAAAAAAAGTATGGCATCTAAGGAAAACAACTGAGAGGCTACCTGGCCTCTGCACACACATGTGCACCCTTCTGCATGCACACACATGCACACCCTTCTGCATGCACACACATGTGCACCCTTCTGCATGCACACACATGCGCACCCACACACGAGGAAAAGGCCACACCAATGTGGGCATGATGTCTGTGGCTGACAGTGTCTGGCCTTACCTGTCACTGTACACAGACCTCTCAAAGATTCGCACGGACTTCTCTGCCTGTAGTTTCCCTGGGAGGGGCTCCAGCTGCACTTTCATCCGGCTCATAAAGGAAAGCGTCTGGAATGTGTAGGACCATCGCGCTGGCTCTTGGTACATCATTTCTAGCAAGTTTCCCGGACCTTTGGAAGTGCCGTCCTGTGGAAGAGTCCAGAAGGGGAGAATTTCCTAAGAGGTGTATTATTTTTGCCCTTTGCCCTTTCTCAAAGTTCAATGTTTAATGTCAAGAATAACCATAGATGCTTCCTTCCACTCAAAACATGAAGAGATATAATTTTCCAGCTTAAGTTGTGTAAGCAGGGACGACCGTTCAACCTTGTATGACAAGACTCTGACAGAGAGAGATGACACAATACATTAAATGGAACAGGAAGAACCAAGCAAAACTCACACAGATTTCACACACACTCACACTCTCACTCACACACACTCTCACAAACTCACACACACAAACACACACTCACACACACAGACACACACACAGACACACTCACACACTCACTCTCACTCACACAGACACACTCTCACACACTCACACACTCACACTCACACACAGACATACTCTCTCACACACACTCACACACACAAACACACTCACACACATTCACACTCATACACACTCACAAACACACTCTCTCACACACACACTCACACACACAACACTGGACTTGTGGCGTCTGTCTAAGGTGAATTGATTATCACCTACAAATTCTCTGTTGAATCAACTCATTTTACTTTAATACATAAGGCCCTACCTTTAAAAAGAGAAGCAGCAGCAGCCATGACTGCCTCTGGTAAATACACTAAGAAAACCTCGTGAAGAAAACTGAGTGGTGGCTGTTGATACAATGGGAGCCCTCAGCCCATTACCAGAAGGGGAGTACTTCCTCGGGGAGTGAGAGAGGACTGGACACTGATATTAGAGGGAACTTCACTAAGGGCAGAAAAGAATGACTGCCCCCTGCAGTCACTTAATCTCCTTCTGCAAACTCTACCAAAACAAACTGGAAGATGGAGATAAGTCATGGCAAACTCTTGTAAACGGTTCCACTTAGAGACAACTACTATTGTCTAAAAGCCTGGGCAAAGACTCCATGTGAGAACTGAGTCATACTATTCAAACGCAGTCAACTACTTTCCATCAAAGCCGCAATAGGAGTATGAAAGATAATGAGGAGAAATATCCTTAGTAATACAGTGTATATCTACTCGGGAATAAGCTAAATAAGAGCACCACTGGAGCAATAAAAACACCAGCTGCTTAAAAATAAAACAGGGGCTGCAGAGACAGCTCAGTGTCCCAGTACACCCAGGCTTTATTTCTAGCATCACATGGCAGCTCACAACCATCAGTAATCCTAGGTCTAGAGGATCAACGTCCGCCTCTGGTCTCTGTGGGCACCAGGTATGAATATGGTGCACAGACATACATGCAGGGAAATCATTCATATACATAAAATGAAATAAATAAGCAGGCTGAAGAGATGGGTCAGAAGGTAAAATCGCTTGATGAACACACATGACAACCGAAGCTGAATCCCAAGGACCTATATATTGGTAGAACTGACTCGTGAAGGTTGTGCTCTGACCCAAAGGCACATGGTACTCTTCCCCTTCACTAAATAAACTTTAAGGGCTGGGGAGATGGTTCAGTGGGTCAGGTGCTTCATCTAAAAGCAAGCTCAGTACCCAAGTAAAAAGCACAGCTTTTGGAGTTAAGAGACAGACGATCAAATCCTGGTTAGCCAGTACAGCTGGAAGGCCTAGCTTCAGGTTTAATGAGACACTGTACCAAGGCAATACAGCAGAGAGCGACAGAGAAAGACACTCAGTGTCTTGCTGGCCACCACATGCCAATGCACACTCACATATGTATACCACACATGAGAGAGAAAGGAAGGGGGAGGGAGGGAGGGAGGCAAAGGCAGTCACTAATATCAAAGTAAGAAGAGATGGTCAAATCTGACTACATAAAAACTAACCCGTCCAGGCAGTGGTGATGTGCACCTTTAATCCTAGCACTTGGAGGGCCATGTTGATCTACAGATCAAGTTCCCCGACAGCAAGGGCTACACGGAGAAACCCTGTCTTGAAAAACCAAAACCCAAAAACCAAACCAAAATAAAACAAAAAAACTAAACTAAGAGCGGGTGAGATGGCAAAGCAGGTTAGGGTGCTTGCTGCTAAGTCTTGTGACATGAATCCCAACTCCAGGGCCTACATGGAAGGAGAGAAATGACCTCAGCAAATTGTTCTCACCTGCACAGGCAAGCTGAGGTGCACGCACACCGTTCCTTTCCCACACTTCAGAGAAAGAAGCAGAAAACTCCCCATCAGACAGTATCATAAAATACCATATACGGGGCTGGAGAGATGGTTTTTTAGTTAAGAGAACTGGCTGCTCTTCCAGAGGACTGGGGTTCAATTCCCAGCACCAACATGGCAGCTCACAACTGTCTGTAACTCCAGTTCCAGAGGATCTGACACCCTCACACAGACATTGGCAAAACACAAGTGTACGTGAAATAAAAATAGATAAATAACTTAAATACCATATATAAAATAGAAGAAAATGTATTAGCAGTTTATTGTATTTATTGTGTAATGTAATACATAATATATATGTATGTATATACATATACATATTATCTACAGTTAATATAGTTATCTACAATGAGCTCTCAAAGACACTACAAAAAAGATGAACATCCTGGAGCCTGCCCCACAATCATGAGAAGTGAGTTTGAATCTACAGAACCTATGTCACTGGCGTGGGCACAGGCGCACATGCACATACACATACACATACAGGATGGTGGAGGCAGGAAAAGACAAAGAAAGCAACAAAACAGCAGAAAAAAGTCAAGGGACAAACGGAGCCACTAGTAATAAAAGCGCAGTTATGGCTGAGGATGCAGAGGGCTGGTCTAGCGTGAGGAGGGTCTGGGTAAATCCTCAGCCCTGGGGGAAAGGAGGAGGAGGAAAAGAAGCTGCAGAAGCCCACGCCACGCCACGCTCTTATGCACCGTCCCTTCTCTTGAGCATCTCTTTCTCTCTCAACTCTTGAGCTCAAATCTACACTTTCACTAACCCCAACCCCTTAAAAAAAGAAACAGGAAAGGAAGAGTGGAGAAACGGCTCAGTTGTAAAATGTTTGCTTTCTAAGGGTGAGGACCATAAAAGAGCCTGCCATGGTGGAGGAGGCTTGGGCAGGAGGGACCAAGAGCTCAAGTCAGCCCAGGCTACAGACGGCTCTGTCTCAAAGGCAAATACAGAGGACACAAGGAGCGAGAACTCAGTTCCAGGGCTCCAATGGTGCAGCAGCAAAGGTTCTGTGAGTGTATTTTAAAATGTCACTACTTGCTTCTGGCATACTCAGAAAAAGATATAATCTGTTTGGAATGGAAAATTTTACAAATACACATCTTCATACATTCAAGCATATGAAAAACAGATGGCTAGAAAAACATACCTGTAACCAGCATAGCATGCCGGTCACACAGGCTGCATGGCTCAGGACTGGGGTAAGGAACCTGGCACCAGGACCCCACCCTACGGTGCTCTGCCCACTGGGCTCTGGGCACTCACTCTTGGGAAACTGAGTGGAAAGGAATGCCCTGCATACACATCACTCACACACAGTGGCTTAGGAGTGGGAAACAGCCCGGAGGGAACCTGGAGGTGTTCTTAGCGGGGGTTGTGACAGCACGGAAAAGGTAAGATTTAGGAAGATGAAAGCACCTGGCAGAGGAGCCAGAGTCACAGTGGTTCAGTGTGGCCCAGCATGTGGAGAACTGGCTAATAACCGTGGCTAAAACAAGACTCCCAACATATGTTCCCGGCGCCTGCAGCATGAGCTTTCTGAGCTTTGTCTGAACTGACCCTTCCACACTCACACTAATGTGGCAGGCCTTGGCAGAAACAGCAGACTTGACGCTTGGGCTGAGTCGTGAGGCATGAGGGAAATGTGGGGTCGGTCCAGCTTGGAAGAGACCCGGCAGACATTTTAAGACCAGTGCCTTAAAAGATGTGAGCTCTTGTGTCTACATGGACTCAAAGGGTGACAATGCTCAGGAAGATCCTTCCCATGTCTAAGACATCCTCATTGACCATTAACCCTGCCAGCCAGCTTCAATAACAGCAACATAAATACTTCATCTTCAAAACTGGGGTGGTTGGGAATGCTTGGGAAACCTCAAAGACAGGAGGCGGGCACTTACACAGACATACAGAAGCCACAAAAATCAAAACTAAACATACTCAAACAAGTCGTATCCTCTGTGGCCTGCTTTCAGGAATGAAGCTATTTTAAACAGACAAGCTGGGCTACTCCATCTCCTCAGAGCAAATTAAGTTACTCCAATTGCAACTCCCCCCACGGCTGAAAACTTACTTTTTGGGTGCCAGCAGCTTGGATATTCTGCCATGTTGCTACAGGTTCTGTAGCCACCTGCCACTCTGGGTGAGTATTCGTGAGTAACTTCACAAAGGTGGATTTGCCCACAGCTGCAATGCAAATGGCAGGTGTTGGGATGCTTCCTAAATCCGGATGAGGGAGGCAGCCACCATCCTCCACCACCAGTGCCCATCTCAAGGGACCAAGGGCCAGCTTTCCCAGCTTCAAAACTTGGCGGCCATATGCTCACTGCCAGCTTGATGATGGAATGGGCAGCTGACCAGCTACCACAGTGGGCACAGGCGACAGGGAAGAGGCATGGCCTAGGGCTCCTGCTGCGGTTTTAATGAACCAGCTTCCGGGAGGCAGAGTATTCAGTAACTGTTGAAAACAGAACCTTCAAAGTGGGAAACTTGTGGCATGACTATAAAGTCGGGTTATGACTGCAGAAACTCTAAGCTGAAGAAAGACCATTATGAGCCTCACTCAATCAGGAAGCCTAGCAAATACTCATGGAGGGCTACCTCATGCTTCAGAGTGTCTAACACCTCGGTATGATGGTAATAAAACACAGGCACGCGTTTTAACCCCAGAGGACATAGGGGATGGGTACTACGCAAGCACACAGGAAGCTACTGATAAATCATGCCGTGCTGAGAAGGGAAAATGCAGAATGCCTCGGATGTAGCTTGGAGGGGGGGTTGGAAAAGGCCCCTTTAAGGAAATGTCATCTAAGGGAGCCCGGAAGGATGAGCAGTCAGCCAGGCAGAGGGTGGGTGAAGGATTACCCACACACAGGAGCAGCATGAACTGAGGTCTGGAAGAGGCAAGGAGCAGAAGGCTGTAGCAGGGATGCAGCACCAGGAGTGAGGTAGAGTGTGGGTCAGCGCACGGCAGCCAGGCAGCCAGGAGATGAAGTGCAGGCCACACAGGGCCTCACAGGGTTAGCATCTTAGGGCAAAGAAAGTCAGAAGCAATGGGTTTCAGCTGGGAAATGGCAAAACTGCCTCAGCTTTTTATTTATGTTTCCTGTGTGTATGGGTGCCCTGGCCTATGCAGGCACCTGGTGTCCACACAGGTCAGAACAGGGTGTCAGATCCCCTAGAACTGGAGATCTGGATGATTACAGGTGACCATAATGGTGCTGGGATTTGAACCCTGGTCTTCTGTAATAGCAATACAATGTTCTTACTAGTAAACCATCTCTCTGACCCCTCCTCCTTGCCCTTTAAAGACTACTCTACCAGCTGTATAAGAGTGGGCTGATGCAGCACTCGGGAAAGCAGGCCTTAAACTCGCCAGGAGAGCACAGTAGAGCCAACCCTGTTAGGGCAGGTGTGGGTGAGCCAGCCCTGAAGTGTGGTCCCCATTTTACATCTGGTGGACCAATGCTACAGCTGCCCAGGCCCAGACCCAAGGATATGACTTGGCCTGACCCATCATCCACCCAATCTATGATCTGCCAGAGCATGTGAAGGGATCTGACCAACAGGGGAACATTCTCTCCTAGACCTCCAGAGGCCCCAGGCCATTTGCCTGTATCTCTTGTCTTCTTCTTCTTCTTTTTTTTTTTTTTTTTTTTTTTTTTTTTTGTTTTTGTTTTTGTTTTTTTCAAGACAGAGTTTCTCTGCATTGTTTTAGAACGTGTCCTGGAACTCGCTCTGTAGACCAGGCTGGCCTGGCACTCTCACAAGAGATCCGCCTGCCTCTGCCTCCCGAGTGCTGGGATTAAAGGTGTGCGCCTGTATTTCTTAGCTTTTCCTGGCTTGTCCCTTTTCTCTGTTTGCACCACCATACTCAGGACCATTGTGGTCTCTTGCCTCTTTGATGTCAACTGCAACTGAACTCTACACCCTACACCGTAGCATGTGAAGCAATCTTAAAATGCCATCAGGACTGGGTGTGGTGGAGTATCCCTGTAATCCCAGCACTCAGGAATGCTGGGACAGGAAGTTCATGAATCTGAAGCCAGCTGGGGATGGACAGTGAGTATGAGGCCAGCCAGGATACATGAGATGCTATCCCTAATACCAAAATCCTTTTGCTTTCATCAAAACCTATGTATGTATGTATGTATGTATGTATGTATGTATGTATGTATGTATCCATCCATGCATCCATCCATCCGTCCGTCCATCCCTCCCCTGGGGGTGAGATGGCATGCCATGACATGTAATGTGGGGGTCAGAGGACAACTACATCTCTCCACGAGGGTGCTGGGGATCGAACTCAGGTGACCAGGCTTGCTAGCAGACACCTTTGCTTCCTAAGCCGTCCCACCAGCCTCCGTTTTTGAAACTGCATTTGTTTATGTGTACGGTGGTAGACACATGGAGGAAGAGAACGTATGAGTTAGTTCTCTCCTTTCACATGGGTTCTGGGAACTGAACTCAGGTGGTCAGGGTTGCAGTGGGTGCCTTTACCTGTTGAGCCATCTTGCTGGCCCTTTGCCTTCAGATAAAACCCAAGCCTATAAGCACTGTCTGGACACAATAGAACCTGGCCCCTACCTATGCCCTCTCCTGCGCAGCTTTCCTGCTGGCTCCTTGCAACCCCAGCCCTACCATGATCTCTCCTCAAAGTATGGCTGCACTGTCCCCCCCCCCCCCCGCCTGCTAGAGCATGGTATGCCTTCTGCACGCCAGCCTTCAAGGGTTTGCTCCGATGGCCCTCATGTGCCAAGCCTTTGCTGATGCTGATAACCAGGCTAGCCAACCCTTTCCAAGTGTATGGTGTTCCAGCTGTGACTGCATCCCTACAATGACAACTGTCCCTCGAGGTGGAGGAAAACCAAACCTAGCCTCACATTCTGCCTCAACAAACAAAGTATTAATTTCAGTTTCCCCCCAAAAAGACCAGTCTAAATGAGGTGGTTTGCACCTTTGATCCCAGCACATGGGAGACAGAGGAGGAGGCTGAGGCAGGCAGGCAGATCTCTTTGAGTCTGAGACCACCTGGTCTATACACTGAGTTCTAGGCCAGCCAAGGTTATGTACTAAGACACTCTCTTGTATCTTTGGTTGTGAGCCTAGACACTCTCCAAAGGCCTTCAGAAGGGATCTGAAGCTCAATCTCCTTTATCATTAGTGGTCTTTCTCTGGGGGATCCAGCGTGCGTGCGTGCGTGCGTGTGTGTGTGTGTGTGCGAGTGTGTGTGTGTGTGTGTGTGCGAGTGTGCGTGCGCGTTCGAGCCCACACATCAATCTGTGGCATCCATCACAGTCCCCACTCCTCTGAGTGCACAGTCACGCTGTTCTCTGCCACACCTCCACCCAACTTTGCCTATTCATCTCGCTCTGCCTCCACTCCTCCCACACAGAGGTGACTAAATGCTTTCCCTTCCCTCACAGCTCCAGGCCACTGGTTTAATTCTTCATCTCCCAAGCCCAACATCTCTCCTCTAGTAATGGTGACTTCTCTAGTTAGCTCCTAATTTCCACTACGTTGGTGAGTTACCAACTGGTTGAGATACAGATTTTTCAAACCTGCCTGTGCTGAGGTCTCAGCTTAAAATACGTGGCCTAGGTAGCTAATATTTAGAGAGTAGGTTGTTCAGTAAGTCTGAAAGCCGGCAGCTGGAAAGTTATTTAAACACTTAAAATGGTATTTACTCCATGTGCCAAGACACGCGTTGACATGCGTGCAGAGCGCAGAGACAACCTGCAGGAGTAGATTCTCTCCTTATACCACATGGGTCCCTGGGGACTGGATTCATGTCCTTGGATCTGACAGCAAATACCTTTACTCACTGACCCATCTTGCCAGCTACTGAGAATTTAAGGTAATATGAAAAAGCAAGGCACTGTGGCTCATGCCTACAAACCCTGCCTGGGCTACAGAGCACACTTCAGGCCAGCCCTAGCTACAAAGTGAGACCGTCTCAAAACAAGCAAACAAATAAAAAGGAAGTGAATGGCAAAAAGACGGAGGCAGCTGCTCTACTGGTCAGAACTAAATGGTCACCAGAGCTGCTCACACCTGCAAGCTAGGGAGTGTCAGCTTCATATCTGAGATCAGACAGCGCCAGTTCATCTCAGGGCACCGAGAGCTCTGAGAATTCAGGTCACTCCAGTTAAATATTCAAAACCCGAAATGCCAACAAATGCAACAGGAGACCTACAGCTCCAGCTACTGGAACAATCACTTTTCATGTGCAGGGCACCCTGCACCAAGCTCCCGTCCATTCCAAGGCTTCTAAAAAGCCAGCTTAGTTATCAGAAGCTGACGCCACCATAGAAAGGCAGTAAACAGTGATGGAAGGTTCCAAGAACTGGGCCTGCACGTTACTAGCACTGGGAGAGCGTGCGTAATTCTCTATGGAATAGCATTTACTGAATGAATCCCATTCTGAGCTGTGCCGAGCCACCACCCTCACATGTGGAACAATCACTCCAATAACGCAAGGCATTTAACCAGGACCCAGTGTTGTGATCACTACTGCTCTTCCAGAGGACCTGAATTCAGTTATTAGCACCCACACTGGACAGCTCACAATCGCCTAACTCCAGTTCCAGGAGAACCGATGCCCTCTTGTGGTCTCAACAGGTATTGCATGCAGACACACATGTCCCCACACAGACAAACCCGCATACACACGGTTAAAGATAACATCATAAAACCCTTAAAGGCAACCATCTTAAAGTCTTCTCAGAGGGGTTTGGTTCTCCACTGGTCCTGCCACAAACCAGTCCTGTTGTGACTGCGCATCTTTTCCTAACTCATGGCTTCTTTCTTCCCACAAACTTTTCTACAGACTGAATGCTTGCTGTGGCTAATTACGCTACAATATGGTAGTGACAAACTGACCTAGAGCCCCAGATACCATATTTTCTTGTTTTTAAAGTTATTTCTTATGTGCATTGGTGTTTTGCCTGCAGGTAAGTCTGTGTGAGAGTGTCAGATCTTGGTGTTACAGACAGTTGTTAGCTGCCATGTGGGTGCTAGGATTTGAACCTGGGTCCTTTGGGAAAGTATTAAGTGTCCTTAACCACTTCCAGCCCCCAGATACCATATTTTCTATTATTCTAAATGTGCTATACTGGCATCTCATGGGAACTCTTAAAATATACTACCATCTCTGGGCCTTTTGGGGGGGAGGTTCAAGATAGGGT